TTTAGGACCTCGTACAAAGTTTAGGTTGTTTTGCAAACCCCAATCAGCCAATGTTCATTCAGCCTTATTATTATCCGGGGCAGGGAGCAAAAGGGAAGGAATAAAGTTTTATTTTGTCCTCGTAGCTAAGTGGGGAGTTTCACAAAAAAATAAATACAAGGACATATTCACGAAAAATAAATCTTTCAAGTGTGTGTTTCAGTGACCTTCAGTTAAAGTTTAAACTCTTATTTGTTTACAAAATACTGACTGTCACTTGGATTTCTTGCTTTTGCTGCTTTAAGACCTTTAATAATTTTTAGACTATACAAATTAATATGGGCATTATTTAAATTGTCAGCTTAAAGCAATAAACACCTTTTAAAGTGTTCCTGGTTGTAGGAGGGAACTTGCCCCCGCCCAAGGAATAGTACATTTATTTCAGCAGCTTTTTTTAACCATTCCAAGCCAGTAATTAATCAACTAAAGAATTCAAGGAGAGGGAAGGGTCAAATCCTACATTACTGGAATGCCTGCTATGAGCTTCAAGACACTCAGAAATTCCTTTAGCTTTCTTTCCCTGAAGTTATTCCCTTATCAATGACTGCTGCTGGAAAAAACTGCAAATACAAGTATCTACAAGGCAAACTGTGCAGAAAAGAACAGTACACAGTTAAAACTCTAAGATTTACTTTAAAATTTAACCAGGTTCTGAGATAGGACAGAAAGGAACTGCCTTTTTTGGGGGGTGCAGGGTGTTTGGAGTTTGGTTGTTGGGCACAGGGTTTTGTTTTTTGTTTTCCAGTAGTTTGGTGGTTGGGGTTTGTGACTGCAACGTTCTGGTGTTTTTGTGTGTGTGTTCTGAGTATACAATAAGAACTCATGATTAAATCTGGAGAAAAAATAAAATAATGGAAAAAAAAGGGTAGCTTGATACAATGTTGACCAGAAAGACCCAACATATCCAAGAATGGGAAAACAAACACTCAAAAAAACAAACAAAAAAGGGGAGGAAAAAAAAGGAAAAAAAAATCAACTAACAAATCCCTTAATTTTTTATGAATACCAAACACATTTTGCCTTTTTCATTTCTGAAACCAGTTAAAACAGTTTTTGTTATGACTATCTGTGAAGAGATCTCAGGCATTCCTCCCATTCCTAAAATACTTGATTGCAAGAGTCATCTGTTTCAAACTCAGGCTTATCTGAGCCCTACAGAGTCCCCTGAGATGTCCTGCTGGACCTCCAGCTACTACAGGTAGAGCACAAACCCTCCATCTCCTGCCCTTTCCACAAAAGAATATCCAATCTTATCCAAGCCCTGCAGACTGCACACACACGGACACTGGTGCTGGACTTCCCAGAGGGGAAAAAAAAAACCAAAGAAATGTTCCTTTTAGAATTGAATGGCACTTTTCACATCACCCCTACTTGTTCAGCATTGCTGCACCATCACGGGACATCAGGAGTGCAGCAGGATTTTTACTGGAGATAAACTGTATTAAACAAGGCAGAGGAGAGACAGGTGTTTCCTTCAGGCGTCTGGTGAAGTTTCATGGTTTGGAGTGTGTGTGTCCCCCCTGTATCCCATCAGCAATCACAAGCTGTGTTCTTTGGCAATAAATTATCTTAAAAAATCCCCAAGCTGAGACTGGTTTGCCACAAACCACGTGGCTTAAATAAACCATGCCCCACCACAGCCTGGCAACAACAGCAATTGGAAAGGCCAAACTTTCTACATTTTAGCCAATAATGTGATTTTCACTCTTCCTGGTTCCTGCACACCTCTCATGTACAATTTATGTTTTTACTAGAGTAGCTGTTGCAATTTAGTCAGTCCCACAGACCAAACTCCCCAAAGATGCATTTTGTTTTGCACAATCTGGTCCTAAACATCTCAAGGGACAGAATCCTTCAGCTCCCCATGGGTTATTTCACAGCTCAGCTATGCTGGAAACCTTCTCACATCCCACTTCCCTCTAAAACTTCCCTTTATTCATTTCAAACAAGTCTCACTATTATAATGCTTTAGAACTTCTCACTGAACTTCCTTTCTTGTTCCCTAAATTCATTAGGTATTAACTCAGCTATTTTTTTTTAATTTTGTTTTAAACAGCTATCTTAATAACCTGCCCACGCCAATTTCCTTTCAATATCCAAAGTTAACCAGAACATCCACATTCATTTGCAGAACTCCAAAATAAAATAGTGCAGCAAATAAATTAAATTGTGTTCCTAGGGTAGCAGCTACTGAAAATTTAAGACAGTGCTGGGTAAAGATGGTCCCAACTATTGTAAATAATAAATATATAACACTTAGAACTGACCAGAGGTATAGGGTACATCAGTTGTGGGTCTTAAAACAAGGTTAAAGTGAGATATTTCTTTTGAAAGGAAAGGTCAGATCACTGTCCAATCACCACCCAATTTCTCCAGTTAAATAAAAAGGCTCCTGCCCTCTGCCTCTGTTCTCTTCAGAAAACCTGAGCCCACTTTTACTGGTAAGGCAGGAAGACAACTGAAGCGTCTTCAGGTTCCTCAGGTCTACAAATTCCCAGTTTGACACACAAACAAGGGCACTGGGACACCAGAAGAAGTGCAGCCCAAGACCAAAACTGTTCTTTGGATGTCTCTAGTCTTTATGCTCTCCCATCTTTAAACAGATGGCATGTTACACAGGCAGCCTGAGTGCTTCATTCCCCCCAAATTATCTTTTCTGCCTTCTCAGCAATCAATAGAACCTTGGAAGGCCCTTCACAGAGCGCAGGGAAGCTGCAAACAGGACACAGCCAAGGAAAAAGAAAACTACTGATGATAATAAAGTCCTATTGTGACTGAGAAAACAAGCCCTGATTTCCCATCCTGTTCCTCGCACCCAGCAGCCTTCTGACACAAAAGGCATGTTTTCAGCTACTGAGCATTTTAAGATGTCAGTGCAAACACGATTGCAAATCACTGCTGACTCTGAGTGGAGCACAGTAGGTTTGGTGCTGTCCCCAGATTTTCAGGTTTCAATGCGCATCATCACTTTAAACACCTGTCAGACCACAGGGAATTATGGATCTCAGGGATGATTGTTACTTGAGGCTTTGGGTACATCCTGCTTGATTTCAGAGTCTCTCAGAGCAGGAGCTTCTTTCAGACACAGCAGGTTGCACAGGCAGCATACATGAACCCACAGTTCAAATCCACAATGCAATATAAACTCTCTTCATGGCAAGACAGTTGATATGGTTATCCCGATTCCATTTCTTCTGTCAGGAGAGGTTTTATTTCCCAGGAAAAACGAAAACATCATTTGCAGTGAATTTGTCTTATAGAGTCATAAAGAAGCCTCTCATAAACCTGAGCACTCTCAGGTGAAATCTGCCTTGTAACAAGACGTGGATGAGCTACAAATCAGGCACAGTCAGTGAAGAGATGATCTGCATGCACTGTTACCCTGTGCAGTCTTCACATACTATAAAGCTTTCAGTTCTCATCTCTTGAAGTTGACTACATAGACAATTAATTCTGCATTGTGAGTAAAGATGTTCCCAGGGAGGAGGTCAGGGATAATGTCCATCTCCCCTGGCACAGCCCAGGAATGACTGCAGTGGGATCTGGGAGTGCCCACAGCAGCTCTGAGTTCCAGGGGCAGAGCTCAGAGCTTGGGGCACTGCTGATGTGCCAAACAGCACCTCAATAACTGCAGCCCAAACACGCCACGGCGTGGGAGCTGGGGGACCACAAGATTCCTGAAAACTGCCGGCAGCAGCACCTGGAGAGGACTGGAGTAACAATCTTCCACGCCTAACACCCAAAAATACAAGTACCAGGAAAAGTTCTGGAGTTCATAAGGATACCAAAGGGGGTGGTGACTTGGGAAGCAGCTCCCGTGACCTCTGCACAGGGAATGACTGTGACATCCATTCTCCATCAAAACCCCTTCAACTGCAGCTCCAGCAGCAGGCACGTGGTGCTGCACAGCTGGAGTTCACCCCCACAAAGACCTCTTTGTGCAAAACACAACTGTTTGGATGCCATGCCCCAAATTAACTCGCTCCAGGGAGGCAAAAGCAGTCTGCAGGTGAAGATGACTTTTTAACTGACAGCTTATAAAAACAATGACATGGCAAAAGGGAAGGAAGACATGAGGAAAAAAATCCCCCCAAAAACCAAAACATACACACATCCCTCCCCAACACTATAAATTACATAGTTATTAATAAGTTTTCTTCTTATCACTGATTTTTCTGGATTTTAATTGAATTTCATGTGTTCAAACATAAATGCCAAACAGCAAGAACAGCAGGGTCCTGATATTATCAAAAGTAGCAACTCTGCTCGTGTTCAGTTTCTACAAACTGAATATTTACATCTGTCAAGCACAAAAATCCTAATACAATTTAATACTCTAATCCTTTATTTGCCAAAAGACGGAGATTATGTTACAAAGGAGGTACCTGTAGGGGAACTGGATCTGGATTCTGGCATTTTCTGACTTGACTTTAAGATTCAACATCAGGTCCCAAATCAGCAGAGATTTCAGCAGGGTTAATAAATACATGGAGTCAAATGGTATTTATTTTTGAGGGACTGGGATACACATTTGCCCATATATGACCACTAAGTAACTTTAATGTGCTGGGAGCTTTTTAAAAATCAGCACTTGAACAAAATTTTTATAAATCCTTCCAAGAACTTCCAGGTTGTTTATATCCAACTAAGCTATTCACAACGGCAATTCAGCTTGAAACATCTCTTTTGTAGACTGTCAACATTCATTCCCCTCCTCCCCAAAAAATTTAGAACATTTCCCTCCCTATGCAGGATCAAGTTACAGAAATAAATAAACAGATAGAAACTGAACTGAAAAGCAGAGTGAAAGGTGACCCAACAGCAACACTTACACAGCAGTTTCCAGAAGATCTATCAAAAAGCACAATATTACTTTCACCAAATAGGTAATACAATAAAAAGCATGAACAGTAATAGTAGCAAAGTCTTAATCTTATTTCCTTTGCAAAGTTGCTACTTACTGCAGAAACCCAAATCTGTCTGTGACTTTGTACAGACGGTAGTCGGCATCTTCCCAAGGCTCAATCTGTGCACCTTCACGGCCCTGAAGGAGAAAACAAAAGGCCAAATGATGTTTAACGACACAATAAACGAAGACACGTAAGACAGGACTCAGCCACTCAAAGCATAACCTTTGGGACGTGCTGGCAGCAGGTCAGAGAAGGGGGAAGAGAACACTAGTCCTAAACTGGCCAGCCGAGAGAAAGGAGAGCAGCGCACACCTCTCCCAGCCCCTGTGAACAGGATTTTCATCACAGGAAATCTCTTTGGATCACAGAATACATTTCAACCACTGATTTCAACCACAGACCTGTTAACTCCACAACAGTCCATCAAGGTCCCCTCAAAGTGCCTTCTACTCATTTCATTTCCAAAGCCCATCTTTCCTGAACAATCAATCACCTGCCAAGCAGGAACTGTGCCCTCCACGCAGAGAGGAGCCCACACTGGAGCAGGTTTGCTGGCAGTGCTTGTGACCCTGCAGGGGACCCACACTGGAACAGCCTCTGTTGTTCCTGGAAAACTGCACCCTGTGGAAGCAACCCACGCTGGAGCAGCTCATGGAGAACTGCAGCCCATGGGAAGCTGATGGAGAAGGGCAGCCCGTGGGAGAGATCCCACGCCAGAGAAAGGGAAGAGTGGGAGGAGTCCAATGAGAAAGGAGCCACAGAAAGAACATGTGATTAACTGACCAGGGCCCCCATTCCCCATCCTCCTGCACCGCTGGGGTGGAGGAGGCAGAGGAAATTGGGATTGAAGTTAAGCCCAGGAAGAAGGGATGGGAGGGGAAAAAATGTTTTAAGTCTTAATTTTTATTCTCTTATTATCCTGCTCTGATTTGACTGGTAATAAATTAAACCCATTTCCTCGAGCCAGGTCTGCTGGTGAGGGATCTCTCCCTGCCCTCATCTCAATCCAGAAACCTTTCCTTTTATTTTCCCTCCCCTGCCCACGTGAGGAGCAGCGACAGAGCAGCTTGGTGGGCACTGTGTCAGCCAGGGTCAACCTGCCACACGTGAGCTCATCTTTCCTTATTCAAACAGCCACAGCCACTCACCTGCACTCTGTGCAAACCACCGGGGAGTCTGGCATGGAAAGCATTTCATGAACTCCACAAACAGGTTTTTTGCTTGCTCTATTGCTCAGCACCCCAACAACACTCACAAAGTCATCAAGTGTTACAAAAACACCTGAGCACAGTGCAGGCATTCTCTAGGCGCACTCTGTGCCAGGCTTTCACCTGACAAGTGGTTCAAGAAATAACAGGATATGACCAGGGCATTTCTTCAACTCCCCACAAGAACCTGACAAACCATGCAGCTCACTCATCTTTTACTTTGCCTGTAACGATTTAAATGTTTCTATCATCAGAACCAAAAATTAAAGAAATAAAAAGTAAGAGTCCTTCTGATCTCAGATATACTAAGCAGCCCCAAACAGCTCACTTTGGTTAATTCTAATACAACACGCTCCCTTAAATAGCCCCAAAGCAAACTTGCCATGCACCTGAAAAATTAGCTGATTGAGTCATTATCCAGAACATCCCTCGTGGAGGGAGAATTTAATTCACCCAGAGGCCAGTGTATCATGAAACCATCAGATTAGCACTAGAGTATTTTAAGTAACAGCTGGCTGGAACAATGATTCATTTTTTGAAACAGACATATAACTAAGATTAATTATAAAATGTCTTTAATATTATTAACAAGTTCACTTACTCTGTCATACTTGGCAACTATCTCTGCTCGTTCTTGGGCAAGTTTGACAGCAGCATCCTGCTCAGCATCTGCACCTGTAGAGAATTAAAATAACACTGTTCAGATTTTCTCCCTTGTGAACAAAGAACTGCAGCTAAATGCTTGGAAAAATCAACTTCAGGGACACTACTTGGATGGAGGAACGCCAAAGCCATTGGATCAAAGCAAAATACAACCTCGGTGCACGTCCTGAATGTTGTTCAGAGTAAAATACAGTTATTGGGTGGCATCTTAATTGCCAAGTCTGGAGTGATCCTGATTTTCCACCAATAAACACAGTAAAATAATGGTTCTTCACAACCCACTAACTGAAAGACCGAAGAAAATAGTAACAGCTGCTGATTGCCAATTCCACAAACACTGTCACAGCCAAAGAAAGCCACAATGAGCACCCACTGGCTTAGAACAAAAGTGGGAGCCATTCACATCATTTGTAGAGAGGTACTGGAATGCTGCAGAAACACTGCATGGCTTCATCTGAGAAACTGCCTAAGACTGACTTCTGAGACATCAGGGAAGGATGTTGTCATTTTGTCAGAACTGCAGCTTGGGCGACCCAGAGCTGGAAGAAGGATAAGGATATGACAACAGGAAGGTTGACAGGCAAGAACAAAACAAGGTGTGGGGAAGCACTGGACACCAGGACACTGCAGATGCAGCATTTACTACGTCAGTGGAGTAGAAGTTTTGCTAAGCCCTGTTCCCTTGGCAGAAACCACCTCCAGAACACGGACAGGAACACAGAGAGAGCACCAAAAGAAGGAAGAGTTGCTGCTTTGAATATCCAGCAACAGGACACGCTTTGATACCCCAAACGTGATTATGTCAAACCAAGGAGGCAAATCAGCTTTAATTAACAAGTTTGTTAAAGATTCAAGAGCTTTGATTATTAAAAAGCAACGAACTTCCAATAAAGCAAAGCTTTAAAAAGGTTTGAAATATTTTTTCAAGCACACCCTGTTACAAAAATAACTCCAAGCATGTGGTTTTTTTCTTCCCCTATCTAATTCATGGCATAATGAACTTCAGGGACTGTACATACCAACCATCTGGGCCATCAAATAGAAAACCAGGCTGGATATTACAGTTTTCTATCACATGACATGAACACAACTATTTGTTCAAACCTCGTGTTTCTTTAATAAACTTTACCTACATATTTCTCGACATTTAGACAAGAAGCTGTGCCAAGGTGCCTCCTAAGCCATCTGCTGCAGATTTAGCACGGTCTCTGCTTGTTTTCACTTGAGGTTTCTCTGGGGGAACGCAGAGAGAACCTCAGTGTGACCCAGCACAGACACAAACCCCAACGTTCAGGCAAGAGCAGTGCCTGTCCTAAGCTCCCCCTGAGGGAAAGCCTGGCTGCTTCTCTGAAGATTTCCTTTACGATCCCCAGGAGTTACACTTAATAACCCCCCGTTCTGGTCCCCTTCTGCTCATCACCACCATTTGCCAATCCTACTACTCCCATTTATCAGTGAGGGTGTCAATGCTCTGTCATTTTTTTCCCAGTGTGCACCAGCACACACGTATTTACACAATTATTTGAGGGAGAAAAAAAAATTAATAATTCCATCTGTTGTATCTGGAAGCTTTACATCTCTGAGCCACTGAACTGATAAATAATTTCTGAGTAGAACCATTTCATATTGCTCAGACTTTGGTGTGCCCAAACAGTGCTTACAGCAAGTCTTTACAGAAGACCAATTACGGGTTTTTAAAAAGTAAACTTGAAACTTGCTTAGAAACTTCCTTCAGAGAATTCAAGTGCTGATCACTTCTCCAATAGAGGGATGGGGAGGAAAAGCTTCCCTGTTTCAAGTACACCTGCCACTGAGCTTCCAGACATGGGGGAAATCCTATCACTGATTTCTATGTACAATAGAGATTAGATTATATTTGAGATGGCTGAATAATAAATAGACAATATTTAATATATAGGAGTTGGTGCATTCAAAGGATTATGTAGCTGATACCTTTAACAGAATTTAAAAACAGGTTATAACTTTATCTTAAAGTGTACCCAAAGGGACATGCACAGCTCTTCAACACCACAGATGGAATAAGTGGCATAATCTGAAACAAATCTAAACCTTTGCTGAAAAGAATGCAAAATGTTATTTGCACCAGAAACCAAGTCCCAGTTTATGCTGAAAACATGGCCATGCCTCACCTTACCTTCCTTCCCTTCTGCAAAATGAAGGTGTGAATCAAAGTTTGGCATGTCCTGTGTCTCATGACAATTCCATTACATTTAGTGTGGAAATTATCATATTCACTGCCTTTAAAGTAATTGTCTTTGCTTTCTGCCAGAATCATCTTAACCTTCCAGCTGCACTGAGCTACTTCAATGTTTTGTAAATTCATCCATACTGAAAACCCAAGAAACAGCTTGAGATGGGCATGAGAGGTTATATTTTGGGAGATAAGCATTAAACATGATTTTTCTCTTAAGGGGAAATATCTAAATATCTCCAAATTAGAAATTACACAATGAGGCCTGATAAAGTAAAAGCTAGATATGGGAACAAGGAAAATTCTTGGTGAAACACCTTCCTAGGCCCAAAAATACATCACTACAAAATTGAAGACAAATAACTGGTATTCTGAAATCTTACCAGTTTTATTCAGTAACTTATCTTAGTGAAAACACCTAAAGATGTGACAAGTATGATTAAATTTTCTAATTAAAAGTTGGCATGACAGATGATGAACACCACGTTACACAGGGAATGATGCAATCTCTGAGGCTGGCATTAATATAGCAAATTAACTGGTACAGAGAACTGATCTGAACTAAAAACTGTGGAAATATGTTATCAATGGGCAGATGATGAAATCTGACAATGATGGCAAGCTAAACAGCACATTTAAGTCCCCTCAAAAACCAGTCAGAGCTAGAGAGTACCTGCCCTTTGTGCCTCTGACACAGACCTGTTTGCTGTATTTATAAAATTTACACACAAAATGCACGCACTGTTACAAAATGTGTAAGTTCTGAACAGCAACATGCAAAGGAACTGAGCACCACTAGAACCAGAAAATCAAACAGAAAACCCCGGCCTGCAATGAGGTGAGAAAGGACTGATATCACAGCCACTCGGAAATCAGCCTGTTTCTCCTTGTCAGTGCTGCTGAGATGAGTGAGGAGCTGCCAAACACGAACTTCCAAAGGGATGCTGAAGGATGGGACTAGAAGTGGGTTTAGTTTGCAACTCCCTGCCTTGAAATTGCTCCAGTCAGGCCTGCTGAGTTAGTCCCCTGTGGATGCCACAGCTCTACAAGGTGGAAGCACTCCCAGCATCAGCACCAGCTCTCCAGCTTTGTCACTGTAATCAGAGTCTCTCCTGCCCTCACCAATTATCAAAGAACTGAAAGGGACAATTTCTTCAGGAACAGAGAGTGGTGATAGGATGGAAGGGGCACAGGCAAAAGATTAACCCAGTCCTACACAAGGAACAATCCTCATTAGTCTCCAGTATTTTCTGAGAGGACTTGCCAGCATTGCGTCATAAGAACAAATTTACAGATGAATTCTGGGTGTTATCCTGCTATTCACTATTAGATGGTCTCTCTGTGCATCATAATCTCATTTACAATAAACCCCCACATTTTTAAAACTGAACTTCTCTTAAAATTTCAAAACCACTGTCCAGTTCAGTCACTTGATACAAAAATGGACAAAAAACATAACGCTAAATTAAAATAAAGTCCTAAAGCTGGCCATTAATAAACAGGTTTCCCACACAAACTGAAAAACCAACTGGGAACTCCGAGTTCCTACCAAAAAGCCGCAATTCTAAGTATCTTGCAGCTTGTGAGGAACACTGGGGAGAACAGCTTACTTTTCCAGAATTCCATATTCTTCCAATGCTATGGGAAGAATGGCAAATGCAGTAAAAATTTAAGGAGGAGCCAATAATATTAATAGACAAAATGTAAACAAAGATACTTAAATTTATACTCTATAATGAATGCAAGACTAACTGGAATGGACCAACTGCCATACGTGACAGAGCCAAAAGCAAACCAACAGATCCAAGTAAAAAATAACACCAGTAAAGAAAAAATAAGGTTGTGGCCTATAAATACGTGCAAAAATTAAATTCTGAGTAGTAGTAAATCTTCTCAGTGATAGGGATTTTTGCAAAATATAGAGTTACAGTCTGACAGATCTGATGCAACTGGAAAAAAAAAGAAACAGTCCTGTCTTACTCTTGCCTTCATGCCATCTTCTCCATTCTGTTTCACAGGGAGGAATGGCAGCTATGTGTGTAAGGCATCTACAGACACCAGGGAATCCTGATCCAAGATCCCCCCCATAATGCACCTAAAACACATTTTTTTTAAAAGGGGGGGTGGGGAAAGAGATTTAAATAAAATAAATAATAAAAAAAAAAGTTTGGCAATAACATATTTTTGTGTTCTTTTAAATCACCAAGACAAACACAGGATTTTTCCTTTAGTCCCAGCTCAGTTTTCCAAAATAAAGACTGGGGAGATGGTAGCACTATCCCTCGTGGTCCCAGCAGCCAAGGAGCAGCTGAACAGCCTGGGACAGCCTTGGCAGGAGCTCGGCTGCTGCTGGTCAGGAGTGACTTATAAAGAGCCCATATTTCCACCTGGGCTCCATCACAGCCTGACAGGACTGAGCTGCTGCCCAGGGAGGAAGGGCCACAAGACAGTAAAATGCTGGTCTTCCCCACAAGGAGAAAAGCTGCTGCTCTGCAAGGACCTTTACTGAGCACCTGTAGCTCGAGCTCTCCCTAATCCTGCACAGCTCCAGGACTGCAAACCAGTAAGGCCACCTTTATTTCCAAGTGACCTCCACGAGCAGTGCACTGAGCACACACACCCCTCTGGCTGCTGCAGAAGCACTCACAGAACTCACTGGAATGGTCTCTGGGGTTACTCAAACTCACTGGGGATATTGTCTCTGAAACAGCCTAAAAAAATGGCTTGACAGCACCTCACCTGGGAAAGGTAATGACAGCCAAGCACCAACTCCCTCAGCAAGGCAGCACAAAATGAGCAC